TCTCTGGTTTCAGCCTGCGGGCTTCGGTTTATGAGTTTCCTCGGAATGAAGGCCCTGGGAATGAGTGCGATCTTCAAGTCCATCCCAGAAAAGGCGGGGAAGTCTGAGCTGTAACCACAGCATTTTAAAAATAGTCTGATAACGATGAGAGGCCCCATGAGAGGCAGTGCTGGGACCGGCCAGCCTGCTGACTGCATTCCGGGGCTTCAGGTGTCATCTCTCTCACTCTGTAGGCACGTGTTTGCCCTCTGCACACGCCACTCCTGTCCCCATTCCACCTGGGGGTGGGGGGATGAAACCAAGGACGTTGGAGATGAAGCCCTAGAGACTCCTGCTGTGCTAGGTGGACTCTGTTCAGTGACACATAACCCGCTGGCATATGCAAAAATTTCAAAGGTGTACATTTCAAAGGTGTATTGTTGCCCTAACAAAGTACAACAAACCGGGCAGCTTAAAACAGCAGAAACGTATGGCCTCTTACTTCTGGAGACTGCAGGTTCAAGATCAGGGTGTAGGCAGTGTGGGCTCCTTCTGGAGGCTCTTAGGGAGAAGCCTCTCACGCCTTCAGTCTTGGGTTCCTCAGCTTGTAGCAGCCCACTCCAGGCTCTGCCTCTGTCTTCCAAGGCCTTCTCTGCGTGTCTGTTTCCTCTGCATCTCTCTATCTCTCTTCCTGTAAAGACACCAGTTACTGGATTTCAGGCCACAGGAATGGCTCTTCCTCTCACACGTGGCATCGTGGCCCTCTCTACTTCATGCCTTCTGTGCCCTTCTGCTTCTAAGATGAGTCTGGGACTCTGGACTCAAGCTGGCCACTGGCCATCTGCTTCTCCTCTTGCGCACATGTTGTGCTCACACTTCCCCCCCCCGCTTAGAGTCTTGCTCTGTTGTCCAGCCTGGAGTGTAGTAGCACCATTATAGCTCACTGCAGCCTCGACCTCCTGAGCTCAAGTGATCCTCTTACCTTGGCCTCCTGAGTAGTTGGGACTATAGGTAAATGCCACCAGACCTGGCTAATTTTTTTTTTTTTTTTTTGTAGAGATGGTGGTCTCACTATGTTGCTTAGGCTGGTCTTGAACTCCTAGACTCAAGAAATCTTCCTGCCTCAAAGTCTGGGATTAAAGGTATGAGGTACTGCGCCCCGTCTGTGCTCACACTTTCTTAACAGGCAGAGCTGACACAGGCCTCTGTGTTTCTGTGCATTCTGCCCCACATGCCTGAAATGCCCTTCCTCATCCTTACCCCTCTTCCCTTCTCCATCTGAAAAGCCTTTACTCATCCTTTAAGCCTCTCCTCCTCACTGGGGTCTACCCTGAATTCCGGGGTGAGTACTGCCTGCAGCTTTTTGTTCCCGAACGTGGTTCCTGTGCATTTTTTCTGGTGTGACACCTAACACAATGCACAAGTTTTGTTTGATTACTGCCCATCTCTCGACCAGACTGAGCTTCTTAGAGGCAGTTTTCTTTTGATTCTCCAGCATAGTTACATAGAAGACCATCTACATTTGCTAAATGACTGAATAAACATAGACATTCCCTTCAGGGGAGATTGAGTCGGGTCTTTCTCCTACTTCCCTACAATGCGTAGTGCACTAGTGGCTCTCAAATGCTTCCAGTGTGGTTGAGTGACTGAATGGAAGAACCGCTATGAGCAGGAACCTGGCGGGACCTGTGGTTCACTGACACTAGCAGTTCCAACAGAGTAATGACCTAAGGAAACAGAATTCCCCTCTGCCTTTCTCCAACCAACTCAGGTACTTCTTATATGAGATTTAATTGGGGTCAGGGAGAGGAATAAGTAACACCTTCCATCTTGCCAGTTAAAAAAAAAAAAAAGGAGCACCTTCCATCTCTTCCATCTTGCCATCTCTCCCAAAGGGAGAGAAAGGGGGAGCCCCAGGCCTGAGGTTCTGTAGCCGGGAATTCCAAGGCAGCATTGGAAGGGGTCAGGATCAGGACACTGGTAGCGCCGTCTGTGTTCTTGCTTTATTCCTGCAATCAAGAGTGCGGATCATGGCGGTGCTGGTTGGTGGGCATCAGAAGGAAAGGGGTCAGCAGAGACTGGGTTCTGGGACTCCCTGAATGAAGCAGACCCAGTCCCATGCTCTTGGGCCATAGGCACCCCCCAACCCCCTCCTGCACTTCGCTTGCCTTGCAGCTGAATGAAGGTCCTCTAGAGCATCACACCAGCCTCTCTTTTTGTGGGGAACAAGGCACCCTTATGGGGCTCTCTCTTCTCCTCTCATTTCCAGTCTGGTAAGCTTTCTTCTGTGTTGTTTAGCAAAGCTACTTGTCATTTTCAATCTGGTGACACTCTAAGGAGGATAACTAGAGTTGGGAGTGAAACATGGGCTTCCAGACCCCCCTTCCTATTGTATCTTCCATTGATTCCCAAGGACCCTCAAACTTGGTCTCCAGACCATTTTAGCAGGATGAAAGACCTAGGGAATGAACAATTCTAACTACTGCTCCTGTCTGTCTTCTCCTCTGGGGCATCTCAAAATCACTCATACACCCCGGAATCACTCAGCTATTCTACCTGCCCTAGTCCTCCCTGTCTTCTTCCAGAGAGCTAGCCCCCCAGGGACGCAGGTGCAGGGCTGGGACTAGGAGAGGCAAGCAAGGGGCCTAGAGCTCAGAATTTAAAGGGGCCTTCACAAAGTTGTGGAGTGCCTCCCTGAATTCCGTGCTCTGGATCCCTCATCGACCTCACTTAGTCCCGGATTTGTGCAGGCAGGTGTCTCCATAAAGGGATGGGAGAAGAAAAAGAGGTTAGAGGAGTGTACTAAGAGGACAAAGTGGGACATCCAAAGTCAATGGCACTACTTAGGAGGCCAAGGCAGGAGGATGGCTTGAGCCCAGAAGCTGGAGGCTGTAGTGAGCTATGGTGGCCTGTGAATAGCCACTTTGCTGCAGCCTGGGCAACATAGTGAGACTCTGTCTCTAATAATAACAACAAAGAGAAACAAAGAAAAGCCAACAGCAAAGTGGACAACAATGACCGAAGACAGCTTCAGAACAAGCATGGCCACACATGCTTTCTCTCTCACACACCCGGGACCTGCCAGACAGACCCCATCCAGAGAACAGTGACGAGGTCCTCCTAATGAGAATGTGGTCCTGGGCGGGGGTGGTGGTGTAGAGATGGGGTAGGATCCTCAAAGTCACATCGTCTTTGCTCTCTCTCCATCCTCAGACTTGACATCTTTTGCTTGATGTCATGAAACTCGCCCTAGGAGTGATGATTAGACTCCATGCTGGAAAAGCCCTCGGGGATGACTAGTCCTCACTGTCCAGTGTGGTAGCCACAAGGCGCACACAGCTTTTGAGCAATGGAAACGTCCGTGGTCCACACTGGCAGGTGCTTTAAGTATAAAAGACACACTGGGTTTTTGAGGATACAGTTGGAAACAAAAGAAGTAAAATGGCCCATTAATATTTTTTTAAAATATTGATTACAGGTTGAAATGATTATATTTGGGTAAAAGAAAATATACGCTATTATTAAGATTAATTTTCTTTCTTTCTTTTTTTTTTTTTTGTTTTTGAGATGGAGTTTTGCTCTTGTTACCTAGGCTGGAGTGCAATGGCGTGATCTCAGCTCACCGCAATCTCTGCCTCCTGGGTTCAGGCAATTCTCCTGCCTCAGCCTCTGAGTAGCTGGGATTACAGGCACGTGCCACCATGCCCAGCTAATTTTTTGTATTTTTAGTAGAGACGGGGTTTCACCATGTTGACCAGGATGGTCTTGATCTCTTGACCTCGTGATCCACCCACCTCGGCCTCCCAAAGTGCTGGGATTACAGGCTTGAGCCACTGCACCTGGCTTTAAGATTAATTTTATTTCTTTGTATTTCTTTCATTGTGGCTAGAAATTTAACATTACGTATGTGGGCCAGGTGTGGTGGCTCCCACCTGTAATCCCAGAAGGAGGGTGGCATGAACCCAGGAGTCTGAGACCAGCATTTGCAACACAGTGAGACCTTGTCTCTAAAATAATAAAAAGAATTACTTGGGAGGCTGAGGCGGGACAATTGCTTGAGCCTGGGAGGTCAAGACTTACAGTGAGTCATGATGGTGCCACTGCACTCCAGCCTGGGTGACAGAGTGAGACTGTCTCAAACAAAAAACAAACAAAAAAAGTAGCCAGGTGTGGTGGTGCGCACATGCGGTCCCAGGTACTTGGGAGGCTGAGGTGGAAGGATAGCTTGAGCCTGGGAGGTTGAGGCTGCAGTGAACCATGATTGTGCCATTATACTCCAGCTTGGGTGATGGTGAGACCTTGTCTTACACACACACACACACATACGCAAAACACAAAACAAATGAGGTTTGTGTTTGTGGCTTGAATTATAGTTCTATTGTACATAGGCAGTCTAGTTGAAGTTGTTCCTTGAACAGATAACGCTGGGGTCCAGAGATAAGCCTTGACTTAGCTTAGCGGATGGCACATTGTAAAGCACTGTCATTTGCAGTCCCCAGTCTCTCAGTACCCACCCCTCTCTGCCACACACACCCCTGGGAGCCCTGGGAGGGAACCAGGTGGACTCTCAGACCCCTGGGCTGCACACCTCAAGGGAAGTGTTCCAACGCTAAAGGAACCGCCTGTGTCTTTTGGGAGTGAAATAAAAACCTGACAATGGTGGGGTCATAGTCTCCAGTAGGTCACATTTTAAAAGCACTTTAGGCTCTGGAAACTTGGGGTTTGGGGAGAAGTGAGGAGAAAGCCGGGGAACCCTGAGGCTTCCTCCATTTATTCATATGCAGAATAATCCTGGTTAGTTTACCAAGTGCGCTGATCACTACCTGCAAAGCAGAGTCCCTCCAGCCTCCGGTGAGGCGGGGTAGAACCTGCCTGAGCCCGGGTGCAGGCCGGCAGCCTCTCCAGGGTTGTTTGACAAGTAAACAAGGACAAGTTTCAGTCCGATTGGCTTGATCCTGGAAGGAGGAGCGGGCAGTGGAGGGAGGGGAAACCAGGCACCAAAGCTAATTCCTTCATTTCATAATTTCATCTGGCGCCCCGCTTCAATCAACCTTCATTGTCAAGGCTTTAGGAGGCCGCTAGGAAAGGAGAGAGAGATACTGATCTCTCGGCCCCGGGGCAGCACTAATGGTGCTTGTCTAGACTCTGACAGGTGGAGCTGCTGGGCAGACTAAGGACCTGCTGGGGAAGTTTTCCTTGGCTTTCACGTGGCTTTGGCTGGGGAGCCCTGAGAAGGTGGCTGTCTCCTTTTTATTAAATCTGGCTTCCCATAAGGCAGTAGCTGGGAGAGAGTGATGGAGAGAAAGGCTAAGCGAAGGGTGAAGGAAAGTGGAGGAAGTCTGACTTGTCCCACTGGACTTCACCGCGGAGCTGCTGCAATCTCACGGGCTCGGCCCTTGCCCCGGGTGGACGGAAGTGCCTGCGGGGAGGCGGGTGTGGCTCCCCCGGGAGGTGACAGCCGGCGGGGCCCGGGTGGTGCGGGTCTGCTCCGGCTCCCCTCTCTAACCCGCGGCGTGGGACCAGCGCGTGCGTGCGTCCCGGAGCAGTTCGATGCGCTGGGCGGGGCCGGGGTGGTCATCCCCGCCCAGGTTCCAGGGGTGACTGTGCCTCTGACGTCAGACGGCTTCTGGGTCATTCCCTGGCACGGGGACTTTATTTTCATAACAGCATGAAGTGCCGTGGAACTGGATTAGGCGTGTCCTCTCCCCGACCCTCCCCCGCCCCTTGTCCCTCTGCTCACCCCTCGCTCGCTCCCTCCCTCCGGCGAGGGCCGCCTTTATAACTGCTCTGCCCACGAGGGCGGGATAGCTGCCCGAGGGATCCCCCAGCATTGAGGGGCTCACCTGCTGCCTTCTTGCGCGCGGGAAGCCGCACAAAGTACACGGCCAAAGCCTAGGCAGGCACTAGGGTAAGTGAGGCGCCAGAGCCCAGCGCTCGCGGGCCTCCGGATTTAAATCGCCTGGGGAGAGCGCGGCGTTGGGAGGGGTGGGGTAGAAGAGGAGAGAAATCCTGGTAATGGAATAGCGTTGGCTATGAGAAAAAAAATTCCCTAGGAAACAGTTCCTCTAGTTTAACAACTGAGGATTTTTTTTTTTTTCTTTGCGGGTTTCCCAGGCTAAGATAGAGTCGGAGAACAAAGAGATAATCAGGGTAATCGTGTCTGCTGGGACACATTCTACAAAGTTTGAGTAGGTGGAATCCAGCCAGGCAGAGGTGAGGAGCTCTGGGATTACTCTGAAGGAAAAGAATAGAGGGAGAAAGATCTCAAAGGACGCGAAGGGCCTGGGAGTGGAGGGGGAATGGGAAGCAAGAGGCAGGGGCAGGAGGAGGACACGGTGACAGATGCTTTTTTTTTTTTTTTGAGACGGAGTTTTGCTCTTGTAGCTCAGACTGGAGGGCAATGGCATAATCTCGGCTCACCGCAACCTCTGCCTCCCGGGTTCAAGCGACTCTCCTGCCTCAGTCTCCAGAGTAGACTGAGATTACACGCATGTGCCACCACGCCCGGTTAATTTTGTACTTTTAGTAGAGACGGGATTTCTTCATGTTGGCTAGACTGGTCTCGAACTGCCGACCTCAGGTGATCCGCCGGCCACAGCCTCCCAAAGTGCTGGGATTATAGGCGTGAGCCACCGCGCCCGGCGAACAGCTGCTTCTTTACCCAGATGCTGCAAAGAACCCTTCTGAGTTTGAGGATTTAGATCTAGAAGCCCATCCCTTTTCTCTTGATGTGTGTGGTGGTCAGTTCCACTGATATCCCTTGAGTTGCTCAGGAACTCGGGACAGATGGAAGTTGAATGCACTAAAAGCTCATCTTCCACCACCAACTCTGAAGATAGGACTTGGGAATAGCCTGATGCTATTCAGGATGCTCCCTTAAACATCCGTGGGAAAGGCTAGCACACAGCTCTAAACGTCCACGGGAAAGGCTGGCACATAGCTCTAAACGTCCACGGGAAAGGCTGGCACATAGCTCTAAGCGTCCACGGGAAAGGCTGGCACATAGCTCTAAGCGTCCACGGGAAAGGCTGGCACATAGCTTTAAGCGTCCACGGGAAAGGCTGGCACATAGCTCTAAACGTCCACGGGAAAGTCTAGCACATAGCTCTGAGCATCCACGGGAAAGGCTGGCACATAGCTCTAAGCGTCCACGGGAAAGGCTGGCACATAGCTCTAAGCGTCCACGGGAAAGGCTGGCACATAGCTCTAAGCGTCCACGGGAAAGGCTGGCACATAGCTTTAAGCGTCCACGGGAAAGGCTGGCACATAGCTCTAAGCGTCCACGGGAAAGGCTGGCACAGAGCTCTAAACGTCCACGGGAAAGTCTAGCACATAGCTCTGAGCATCCACGGGAAAGGCTAGCCAACAGCTGAAACCTGCTCGGAATCAAGGACTTTGAAGGACTTTTCATTCCTGACATCTTTCCAGGCTGATTGGCTCCTCAGAGGCTTGTGTAAACACCACACCTGTTGAAGGGTTCGGCCAATCAGCCACTGCCGAGGGTTCATTTTTGAAGGGGAACACTTGAGCCACTTCAGATACAATGTGGGCTAGGGACCACGGGAGGGGCGAGGGCAGAGGGTGGCACCCACCCTCCAGGTTTCCCTGCTGGTGTCTGCTAGGGAGGGAAGGAATGAGGGGAAGGAAGGGCTGGGAGAGGTGCCACCTGGGAGACCAGTGGCACCGCCAAGAGTGTGGTGAGTTGAGTGCTTCGAGGGCAGAATGGAATGAACAGAGAACCCTTTGGTTTCCTGGGAAGAGTGCTCAACCTTGAGTCAGGACGACTGATTTCTCCCCCAGCTCCGCTGGAACATGGAATTGTGATCCCCGAAGGGCCTGGGCCTGACTTCCCTATAGGGTGTTGTGGAGACCCCCAATTTCCTCTCTTGTATTTAGAGTCTAGCCCCTCTCTGTCTGCACACATCACCTGGGAGTCCTCTTTAGAACCTGCTTTTTTGTATTCTAGTCTTTAATGCTTATTTAAGACAACAGGGTATGAAGAACGATTTTGACGGTTTGATTTTATTCTTCTCATGCTGGGTCCACTGCTAAATAGCTTCATCTGGGGACTAAATAAGTATCTGTTAGTATTCTTTTTGAATTTAAGTCCTCAGATTAAGCTGAGGAATATATAGTAAACAATAAATTGAATACTATTTTTGCTTGAGGAGCCTTTGACTTCCCAAGTAGTTCAGGGTGTTTGTTTCTTCTTTGTTATTTTTATTGCACTGTGGTCAAAGTATATGGTCTGTACATTTCCTCCTCCTCCTCCTCCTCCTCCTCCTCCTCCTCCTCCCTCTCCCCTCCTCCTCCTCCTCTCCTCCTCCTCCTTCTCCTTCTCCTCCTCCTCTTCCTCCTCCTCTCCTCCTCCTCCTCTCCTCCTCCTCCTCCTCTCCTCCTCCTCCTCCTTCTCCTTCTCCTCCTCCTCTTCCTCCTCCTCTCCTCCTCCTCCTCCTCCTCCTCTTCCTCCTCCTCTCCTACTCCTCCTCGTACTCCTCTCCTCTCATCCTCCTCTCCTCCTCCTCCTCTCCTCCTCCTCCTCCTCCTCCTCCTCCTCCTCCTCCTCCTCCTCCTCCTCCTCCTCCTTCTCCTTCTTCTACCTTTTGAGACAGGGCCTTGCTCTCTTGCTCTGCTTCCCAGGCTGGAGTGCAGTGGCACAGTCTTGGCTAACTGTAACCTTCACCTCCCAAGCTCAAGTGATCCTCCTGCCTCAGCCTCCTGGGACTACAGGCACCCACCACTACACTTGGCTAATTTTTAAATTTTTTGTAGAGATGCAGTTTTGCAGTGTTGCCTAGGCTGGTCTCAAACTCTTGGGCTCCAGCGATCTTCCTGCCTCCACTCCCCAAAGTGCTGGGGCTAAGGGGTAAGCCACCACACCCTGCCTTCAGCAGTTTTTGTTTTATGTGTTTTGGTGCTATATTAGTTGGGGCATGGAAGCTTACGATGGTTTTGTCTTCAGTGTAGAGCATCCCTAATTATTATAACACAAGCTTTTTGGTCCATATAATACCTTTCTGCTTTAATTACAATTTTGTATGATATTAAAACCTCAACTTCTGCTTATTTTACCTTGAACGACCTATCTAACTTTGTGTCCACACATAACACTTGTTAAATAAGTCTCTGTTAGTATTCTTTTTGAATTTATTTTAATTTCTTTCTATTCTTTTGCTTTTAACTCTTGTGTATCTTTTTGTTTTAGGTTAGGTTCTTCTAGGTATGATATAGTTTAGTCTTTTTTTTCCCCCAAAATAAAGCAGTTACCATTTGCATTTGTTATAATAATAATTACTTGTTATTGTCCTCTAATTTTAGGCCATGTGGTTTGCTTGTCCCCGTCTCCTCCCACATTAGACAGTATATATCATATTTGTAGATCTGCTAGACAACTGAGTAGATAGCAGCGCGATTCCCGGAGCTTCGAAAGATAAGCTTTAAGGAGAGGTGACTAGTTTAGGTTTGAACTCGTGGGATCCAATGCATGTTAACTACCGTCATGTATTGGAATAAGATATTTAAATGAAGGGGTCTTTGAGAGTTTTAAGATAGTATACCAGCAGAGGACGTCACTTTATTTTCTTATTTTCTGGAAATTTTATTTCTTAGAATTCTGGGCATAAGAGATTTAGAACCATCTGAGTCATGGTTCTAAAAAAAAAAAAAGTTTTTCAAAAAAAAAAAAGATTTAGAAACCTCATTCAAAATATTAAGCTTTATTTAAAAAAATGATTTTCAGTATTTCATTTTATATTTACATTAATCAAATCTACATGCTTTGTTTAGAAGAAGAGGAAGATGGGAATAATCCCAGGGAACTGCCTGGAAGTGCAGAAATCACGATGAGCATTGCGGTTATACTTGTTTTGATCTGGCTGTGATGACTTATTTTCTCGGGTTATTACAAAGAAACCCAATTCAGTGATGTTATTCAGATGTTATTCATAAGGTATTACTTTGATTAATCACTTTTTTTTTTGGAGATGGGGTCTCCCTCTGTCGCCCGGGCTGGAGTGCAATGGCGAGGTCTTGGCTCACTGCGACCTCCGCCTCCTGGGTTTGATGATTCTCCTGCCTCAGCCTCCCAAGTAGCTGGGATTATAGGCACCCAACACCATGCCCAGCAAATTTTGCATTTTTAGTAGAGATGGGGTTTCTCCATGTTGGTCAGTCTTTTCTCGAACTCCCGACCTCAGGTGATCTGCCTGCTTCGGCCTCCCAAAGTGCTGGGATTACAGGCATGAGCCACCGCACCCAGCCGGTTAATCACGTTTGTGTCATCAGAATTGGGACGGCTACCTGGAGCCAATCACGTTTGTGTCATCAGAATTGGGATAGGTGATCCTGGAGATTTCCTTGTAGATGCTTTGTATTTATAACTAATCCTTTATCAAGGGCAGAGGGATTTCTGTGGGATTTCTCCCTTAGAAGAACTCAGCCTGAGTAGAAATATGAGGATTAGGATCAGCTCATATTCATCTTCAAAAAAATGTTCCTCCCCATTACTCACACTTGCTAATAAATAACTTGCTTTGGGCAAATATTCAGCACTCAGTCTTAGTCCAAAGCATTTGCTCAGCAACTACTGTGTAGACTATAGAGTAGAGGGGATACCAACAAAGAGAAGATTTGCCCTATGTTCTTAAGAAGGTTATTATCTCATAGACAGCTCAGCACTGGTATTAATTTGTACTATATAACACAGAAATGAAAAACCTTGAGTGCCAAGACATAGTTAATTGTAAAAACTCTGAAGAGATCAACACATTTAGAGTGCAATAGGATTAAGTGCATGTGTGGTGGCTCACACCTGTAATCCTAGCACTTTGGGAGGCCGAGGTGGGAGGATCCCTTGAGCCCAGGCGTTTGAGACCAGCTTGGCCAACATAGCAAAACCCTGCCTCTACT